TAAGAAACCGCGACCATGGAGAATTAATTTAATTCTCTATCTCATGCATATGGGATGGTCTAACATTGCTGATACGGTTTATTCAAAATTTGGTCGCGTGTGTAAAAATATCGAATTTTTATATCTAACCGATTTGCTGAGTAATTTAGTTCCCCTAGTTCTCGATGTTTATGCCGTACACCATCGAGAAGGAAATTGGCAGGCTTATGAGAAAGCATGCATGTGTTGCTGGAGCGACCTTTTCCTCCGATTTGACCGAAAGAACTATAAGCGTGCACCCTTAATATTTTTTTTTGATGTTTTTTACTGAATGGAAATTGGTCATCCAATTATTAATATAATTACTAATCATTTGGCTTCTCTTAGCAATTCTCTCGTTGAAATTGTACACAGTATTATCCGAAGGCGTACTACTAAGTTTCTTACGAGTCAACAATTACAAAAAGAGATACACACGATCTTCTGGCAACGATACGATAATAATTTTCAGCAAACTTTCGAACGTTCCGTAAAGTATCCATATACGCCGAAACAGTTAGATTTACTGTCTCAAAAATGTTTTATCTGGCTTTTAGAAATATTCGCAAAGGTTTATCGAAATCGTCATCAGCATTCTACTATTTAATCCTCAGTTGATAGCATAAACACATATGTTCTGCCTTCGTTGAGTTATGAGGTGACAGATCATCACCTCCCAAGGGGTTTTGTTAATTCTAAAAAACCCGATACATCCATTTTATGCAATTCGATATACTGTGACAAAACCTTTGATTTGTATAATGGCATTGTTTTGGCGTGTGGGCATGGTTATCACAATGATTGCTTACAAAAATCTCATTTTAAATATTTTATATGTTTAGGTTATCTTCAAGACGAGATTCAAAGAAATGTTAACACGTTAAGATCAAGTATGACTAATAAATTAGTCGAAAGTGAATTGTTTGAGAGAAATGATAATACGGATGATGATGATTTAGATGAAGCACACGAAATAATGGATAATTTAATTGCAACTGGTGATTTATTAAAATATGTGAAATTGACATTTTTAAATCTATAAAAATTATAATAAACTTTATATTATGTATATATAAAATAAAAGTAAATGGGCTTGGCAATTATTTTATTATATAATTTGATTAAATTTATATCTAATTCGTTAATAATTTTAATTATAGCCTTAAAAATTAAAAAAATTTTAATTACTGAATTATTACGTATATAAATTATTTATATTAGTCTACTTAAATATGCATGGTGTAGATCATTTCACGGCTTGTGTAACATCGACGGTTCCTCCTGTTCGATGTGATAGATGTAAATCTAAAAATAGATCATATTTGATTGGCTAATAAGTACGTGCTAATTTACAGAAAATTTTAATTAAATAAACGCGTTCTAATTCATCAGCGTGCATTTATTTCAATCCCAATTTTTCATTTTTTTTTTATGAGAGTTATAAGCATATTTTTTATTATTAGTGTTCTAACTCATTAGCGTGATTTGTCATCCCACTTTTTTTTCTGGTCTTTTTCGCTTTTTTTTTCTTTTAAACATATAACTAAAGAAAATGAACGTGTCGCAAAGGAACTTTTCAAGGGGAGTATTTTTTGAATATCGACGAAAAAATTTTTTGAAAGACATATGAACAAAACTTTAGGTATTTTTTTTCGAAATATTCAAGAAAGATTATTCATAGTATATTAGATCCTAAACAAATATTAAAGTTCCTTTCGTGGTTCATCAGAAGCTCTCTGACAAGCCTCTCTGTAAGCGAAGTCGTCTCTATAAGCGAAGGTTCCTCCGTCCTATGTAGACTTTAACATAATGAAACGAATATTAAAGTTTCTTTCGTGGTTTATCAGAAGTTCTCGACAAGCCTGAAGGCTCCTCCATAAGCAAAAGCTCTATAAGCGAAGGCCCCTCCATAAGTGAAGGCCTCTTCATAAGCAAAAGCCTCTCCATTCCGTGTAGACGTTAACGTGATGAAACAAATGTTGAAGTTTCTTTCGTAGGTTATTAGAAGCTCTTCGACAAGCCTCTCTGTAAGCGAAGACCCTCTGTAAGCCCCTCTGTAAGCGAAGGCCCCTCTGTAAGCGAAAGTCCCTTTATCCCGAGTAGACATTAACATGATGCGTGGTTGACATGCGGGTTGAGTGAGATCGAAGAGGTGGCGGTGTCCTTAGTATGTAAATTTCCTCGTTAAAAAACTCTTGATAATCGCTCCACGTATTTATCACTTGTAATGAAACGTCTTTTATTAATTTTGTTATTTTATTTTATTATTTAAGCAGTTATGTAGAGTTTCATTTTTTTAAAGTAAAATGAAGAATTTTAGTTTTATTTCTTTATATCGATGAGGTTCGAGCGATGATTCAGGATGATAAAGGAACGAAGACAATGTGAGAAGAATAGAATCGAAACGAATTCTTTCGAATTAAAATTAAAAAAGATTGAAATGGAAAAGAATAAAATTAGTTAAAGCATAAAAAGAATTCTGAAATCGCTGGAAAACAGTTAACTTGAAAAAATCTAACTAGTGAATTATAAAGAAATGTAAAAATCCAAAAATCTTATGAAATAAAGTTTTTACATTTGTTTCTGTTCAATATTAAATATCGCTATTATAAATGTATTATATTAAATAAACATTATTAAAGACAAAGCTTTTTTTGTTTGTATCAATCTGGTGCAAAGCAATTCTGTGGCGGGTAAATATGTTAATCATAGAAGTATTAGAATCGAATCGATTTCGTGACTATTAATAACGATGTGCACATATTGAATTAATTGAATATTTTATGATTTTGCAAATTACCAAGTTTATTGTATGGTGACTATAAAAAAATATTAAAGGTTTGATCGCGTGTTATTTGACCAATTGACATTTAAAAATGCTTGGGTAATTAATGTAAATTTTGATTAACCAATAATAAAAAACAATTAGGAATGGGCAATTATACGATACAGTTAATAAAAATGGTATAATAACCGTATAATTATAGTAAATTAATATAATATTGTATAATTGGTATAATTTTTTTTTTATTTTTTGATCTGCAAAATTTACAAAAGTTTGCAAAATAAACCGATTAATTCTTTAGTCGATTAGTTGCAACTAATCGATTAGATGGTGCCTAAAAATTTCAATCGATTAGTTGTCAACTAACCAACTAATCGGTTTTTTTAACTTTCGATTTGTAACACTAAATATTTTAGCGTTAATGTAAAAAAGTTAACCAATAGAAATCTAGATGAAATTTTGAGCGAACATATAACAAATCCATATGTACTTTCTAGGTATTATATATGAGTTATTATAAGGTAATTTTTATACGGTAATTATACGGTAAAATAACCTGGTATTTATACCAAAATTTATTATACCGTATAATTTCCATCCTACAAAAAATACTACCCAATTAGTTCAACCCGGTTTAACTTAGATATTAACAGACTTTCAATTATATATAAATCTATTTGGCTTTTGAATTATGAAATCATAAACTCACCCACTGGTAAAATCCTGAACAACCCGCTATTAAAATACAAACGCATCCACCGTTTAAGTCACGAAGATGCTACTGTTAAATCACGGATCATTGAAATCATGAGCCCACCTACTGTCGAAGTCACGAATCTACATCGCCAAAATGCTGAGCACCTACCATTTGAAGTTGCAAATCTAAAACCCTGAACCCACACACTATTGAAATCATTAATCCATATACTATTCAAATAGTGAGCCCGCTGCTGAATCATGAATTCACCCACTGTTAAAATTACGAATCTGTTCACCATTCAAATTATGAACTATGAATCCACACACTGTTGAAAGTATGAACATACTTCTAAATCACGAACTCACCAACTATCGAATTATCGAAATTATTAACCCACTTATTACTTAAATCATGAACCCACGCACTATTGTGAAATCACTAACTTACCCATGAATCCTCCTATTTTCGAAGTTTCCTTAAACTAATTACATATGAATTCATAGAAATGATGAGCCTACTTATTATAAAAATCATGAATTACGAACTACCCACCCACTATAATCATGCATCCATTCATTTATTAAGAATCCGAACTATCCAGGTAGGTTAGAAATATCACAGTATTATGATCGTCGACCGTTTTCAACCCGCCTGAAAAAGTCAAATAAGGTATAATAGAGCAACAAATATGATGTAACGGTAAACGCCTTGATTTCCGAACTATGCTGAAGAATTTGAATGAATCATGACATTTTTTTGCCACTACGAATTTATTTGAACAACCTCTTTGTCTAGTGATGGGCGATTACCTACTAATGAGATTAAATTAATAGCAATTACTTATGAAAATAGATAACAAATTCAATTAATTTTATATTTGCATCAGTAATAAACGATTAAGTGGACATAGTAATGCAAACAAATCACTTCGCACGAACTAATTTATTTAAATTATGAAAACTTTGGGTTATTGATTACAGTGCAAAATTTATTTTTGCACATACCGATACGTATGATTATCTGGTAATTATGTAATTAGGATTATATAAATTTTTCAATTACATATTATAAGCTATAATTAGCGTTATATAATTTTTCAAATAATCTTATTATAAAAATTTTTAATACATACGGTGAGATAATTATAATAAAAAAGCTATATAACTGATAAGACAAAAATATTACACGCTAACTTAGCAATGATAAACCTATATAACGACTCTGGATATAACGAACTCTGGATATAACGAACTTAAAATTTTGAAATTTCATAACAGTTCGGTATAAAAAGTTGCATGGGTTCTTAAGAAAATATAATAATTTCCCTATAACGAACTTTTTTTTCTTCCAGAATCTTCAGTTCGTTATTAAAAGAGTTGACTGTATATTATTTTTTATATACTAAATTTTAGGTAAGATAATTATAATAAAAAAGTTAAATAACTGATAAGACAAAAATATTACACGCTAACTTAGTAATGATTTAAGAAAATCATGCTAAAAGTTGACTTGGCCAAAGTCAAAAAAAAAAAATAAAATAAAAAATAAAATTGGATATAGCCTAATCTAGCTAACTCCAATAATTGTTTTTTATGTTGAGTGATAACATTAAATACTGAAAGTAAAAAAGCCCCATGTGAGTTGAAACTTAGATAGTATGTTTTCTACTTTCCATTTTAAGTTTATTAGCTTGTTCAATCATCTGTTTTCCAATGATAGGTTCTGCTTTTTGATAATATAGTCCCTTCTGCACAATTTTCCCCAATTTTTCCAACGCAAAAGGATTGTACTGCCTCGCCGATTTTCTCAAATATTCCATCGCGGTCTTGTACCTATCACCCTCAAATGGAACGGGAGTATTTAACAAAGTTAACGCATACCAATATTGGGCTTCCGGATGTTGTAATTCAGATGCTTTTTTGAGGTACATCATGCCTTTTTTTCCATCATTTTTTACACCAAAACCTTTAATGTAATAAAACCCCAGCCAGAAATTTGCATTTGGATCATTTTGTTGTGAATCATAACAATTTTGAAATATATCCAATGCATCTTTATATTTCTTATGTTTATGGAAATCAATACCTCTTTCTATGTCTTTATATGAGATTGAATATTGACTAGATCGAATGTGGCTATTACGTCTTAAAATTCCATAATTTGATAGATCTATATGATCAGTGCTATCAAAATCGTCATTAGCATCTTTCCCAGAAGAATTTATTAATTTATTCAGATGCTCTAGGATCGATTTCATAGTATCACGTGAAGAAGGATCTTGAGACCACGATTTTTTAATAATTTTTTGGTATTCACCATCTTCTGATGTAAGTTCAGGACGGTTTCCGTCAAGTATTGTGCGTTTGATTTCTTCCTCCGAGGATAAGGTAACGAAGGGTAGTTGTCGATACTCGATCGCCCACATAACTAGAGCGAAACTTTTAACATGGAAATCATTATTATCATTTTACATGAATTAAGATGTTTTAAATTCAATCAAAATTATAAAATTACCTGTATATTTCGCTAGCCTTAGTGTATGCTTCACCGCGAATTCTTTCTGGTGAACTCCACCTAAAATAAATAAATAAATAAAGTTAATATACAAGAATAAGAAGTATGTGTATTTTCGAATAAAGATAAAAAAATTACGTTAACATATCAATCGGTATAGATGATGTTGATGTCGAAGATTCTTTAGGAATTTGGAAATTATACAGTTTAGGACGTAAATATTTATCCAGCAATATATTAGAACTAATTATAAATTTAAAGACTTAGTAAGAATCAACATTATGATATGCAATCAACATTTAATTACGTATATACTAACGTTCTGATATCACCATGTAAAATATTTTTTTCATGGCAATAATCCAACGCATTGGCAATTCCGCGCGCAATTAATAATTTATTATCTGACGTTAAATTAGAATCTTCAGGTTTATCAATAAGGTAAGATTGCAAGTTATATTCAACCCAATGTGTAATTACGGAGATGCCATTGGATCGATGACAGTACCCGTAGCTTTGAAGTAAAAAAAAATTTTTTTTTTATAATTATTTCAAAATAAAGGTAATGTAATAAATTTAAATTTAAACATACAATTTAAGAATATTTAGACATTCAAGTTCTTGCATATATTTAATTTCTTTTTTCAATTCGTCATCATCACAATTATCAACAGTCTTTTCAGCAACTCTGGTATATTTTCGATAAATTCGTTGAGATATATGCTTTTTACTTCCTATAACTATCTCACCCTCCGAAAGATCATTTTCATTGATCTTAAATTTATCATCAAATCGTCTTCTTGAAATCGAAAGAAATTTGACAAAGGAAAAAGTTTTACTTCTAATTAGATTCCAACCACCTTGTTTAGATTTCCAATGCTTGATTGCTACCCTCAATTTATTAATTGCATCGTTTATTTCATCTATTAAGTGATCGATCCTTTCATGAATCTATTTATTAAATGATTTTGTCAAAAATTATAAGTGACATTCATAACAAAGGCCCAATAGAAAAAGGGAGATATATTCTTAGATTCTGAATTTCACAACACAGATCGATGTAATTTGAACACAAATTGAGTTCGGCTAAAAACAACACTTTTTCTATTGAACATGGCCATATATCAAAATTAGCATCATATAAATATTACGCACCTCAAGCGTATGCGTACTATCAATTAAAAGATTGATATTCCAAAGACGATCTACAAAATATTGAAAATCAGGGGACTCCTCAATAAATTTTTTAAATCTAAGATTTGCTTTATTCTCATCATTTTCAAGTTCGCAAGACTGATCATTTGTTTCTTTAGAACGAGAACTTTTAGATAACAATTTTTGAATTTCTTCTAACATATCTTCACCATATTTGGTTACTTCCAATCCTTTTGCAGATATATCTTCATGTTTTAAATCTTTGAACACTTGGTTTGCAACTTTAAGACTACTTTTTGCGATTGATAAATCTTTACATGTTGATAGCAAGTCATTACTACTACATCGTTTATTTGAAGAAGTTGAAGTAGCATCAGTTGGAAATGGAGGAGGTTTTATATTTATGGGTGATGCTACATATGAATCACTATCTTGTTTATAAGACATTTTATATTTCAATAGACCTGGAAAAACAAAAAGGACTAAGTCAATTTATTATCTTAAAGATACAATTAGATTTCGAAGCAAATGTCAGAATTTCAGCATTTAAATATTCATTGGAAACTTAATCACTTATTTAAATCAAGTGAACACAAATTGAGTGAGAATATGCATGCATAACCAATCCAAATTGAATAATATAAAGACTTTTTTAACATCAAAGTTATTGAAGACACCATAAGTGGTATATTCTGCGCGTAGGTGCAGAAATATTTGTCAAAAATCGGGATGACATTATTATTTTTAATACGGCATTGATACTGTCAGATTCTAAGAATAGGTAAATTAAAGCAATATTCTTGTACAACTTACCGATGGTTAAGAAAATAAAATCGATGGTCTGCCTCGTGAAATTAATGATAAATCTCTACGTACGTACGTACGTGGTGTAATAACGATAAAGACCTCACATAATTCGCATAATTCGGAGTTTTCTGCACGCATAATCTGGCCATGGCCGGCTTTATAATCCTGGACAATCTATAACTATCCACTAACGTGGAAAACACTGATTTAAAGTTAACTTTTCAGGGTAAACAACGTGCATATAATCGTTATCCTTATTGAAGCTAATAAAATTAGAAATTAGGCGTATTATTAATGCAATAGATCTCAAAGTGAGGGGCCTCAGAAAGTAACGGTACACAAAAAAATTATGCAATGCATATCATATTACGTATTCATTTGCGTAAGGGTAAATTTACATATATGAAATTTGTTTTTTATGAACCGTGATATGCTTTCTGAGCCCACTTTACGTACGTACGTACGTACGTATGTACATAAGACGCAGGATGCAATTCTGCCACAGGACAACTTGGAAATTGAACAAATCATATTTACTTAAAACTATATTCCCTTTGTAGCCTATTTGGAATAAGATGGACTACTGTATACGTATGTCGTACGTACGTACGTTGGAATAGAATTATTATATATATCAGATATATTTAAATAAACATACAGTAGGTTGTACGTACCAGAATTCTAAAATGTCCTGAGTCGTTAAAGAATTTCAATTCAACTTATCGGGTTTGTTTTGGAACTTAAGTCTCTCTAAGATAGAGTTTATTCATAACTAAAGGTGCAGGTGAAACTCCGTAAATTGCCGTAACTATCGCCGTAACTTGACATAACATAAAGTTACGGTATAACTCATTGTAGTTATTACAGAGATAGTTACGACAGGTTACGGAAGTTCCACCTGCACTTCTATTTATAATAATTAAATCTAAATGCATTGCATGAATTTTTACATCTATGATTAGTTACATTCATTTTTGTACATTTACAATGATTTTTGTTACACGCGTTTTTGCAATTGCATTTATTACTTACTTGTAAAGAGGATTGCATACTTCTCAAACCCTCATAAGCATTGAAGGAATACTAAGTAATTCATTAACAATTCATTAACATTATACGTAATTCTAATAATGCCGGTGTCATTCTCCGAAACTTGTTGTGTTTGTATTTTCCGGAATCAATGTCTTTACGTGTTATGAAGGTTTTACATCGACTACCGTAAAGGGTCATATAAAAGATCTCCCTATATATCAGATCCCCCATGAATTAGACCCGGGCGCGAATTACAGGATCTACATTAATCAAGCTTGGTTTTTTTCAAATATCTAGACTACCTGCCATAAATGCAAAATGTGCATACTCTTCAAAGTTTTTTTATTAATGATATAAACTCAGCCGTATACTAGACCCGGGTCTATTGTAGGTTTTAAAATTGGTGTAATGTAAGAGACCCGGGTCTTGTATATGACCCTTTACGGTATTAGCCGGTTAACAATTCTTTGAATTCTTTGAGGTTAAAGTGGATAATCTTGGGGTAGAGTGCGTTGCAAAGAAAATTAAATAAAAGAAAACAATAAAAAAAAATTGCATTTTTCTTGACAATTTATCATGCAGTTATATGTTATGATTGATTTACCGCACCCTAATGACGCGTGTCGTATTTCCAATCAAAATCTTGTAACAGACGCAAGTTTTGATTGGTCAATTGAAGTATTCACCGTCCCTGATTCCAGGCGATTGACCAATCAAAAGTCACCGGAAATCACTGCTGCACTGGACACACTGGAACTTTCATTCTAGTGATAAAAAATCTCCATCCGGTTTAAGTCCAATGATCTTCAAGCAACATTTTAAAATTTTCAAAATATCATCCAAATTCCAAATCCCCAAATATATATAATAAAATTCGTTTGTAAGTTTACTATGTTTTATTTGAACGTAAAATTACTGCAAGTAGCATGACGAAAGTTTTATTTCATTGGCTAAACCTGTGATGCTAACCGTTCTGCCACTCTGATTGGTCAGATCATATTGATTGGATTTGAAAAAATTAACAAGCCAAATTCGAAGTGTCACCTTATATCGATATGCCTTGCCATGAATTCTTAGTTAAAGTTCAAACAAGTTTTCAAGTTTGTTCAATCTTAAAATTACACTTGAATAGCCAGTTTTTAAATCAGTCGTTTTCGAACCATTATAATCTGGCGATCGAACCTCTAATACTTTCGCTATGCCATTTGAAAATAAAGTTCATTGTTAATTTGATTTTTTCGAAAGTTAAAAATTGATATTAAACTTTAAATTACGTACCACAGTATTGAACGAATCGGAATTGCATTAAGTGTAGATAGTAGTCTCAAAAACTTGGGTGTTTCGCAAAAAAAATTATAGACTTTTACTATTAAAGCTATTTAATAGAAAGTATTTTGTTTCACTCATTTTATGATGTTTCGCTTGCGAAAAGTTCTCTATATTATTAACTATTTCTGGATTAGTACAACATTTGATTTGATAATCTAAAACCATTTCTTTCGTTATAAGGTTTTACAATTTTTATTAACCGACAGATTTCATTTCGAAAATTTATTAAATTACATGCGCCGAAATAATTTAAAAACAACTATTTTTCTAAAAAAGTAATCTACATTAACAAAAAAACTAATTTTTAATTTGTTTTGTAAAGTCATAATAATTTAAATTCGTTGGCCTTGTAGGGATTCATTGATCTTGATCGGTCTTGCGTATTATATAGCCTATATACCGGTATAAACAAAAAAAAAGATAAATAATTACTTCAAATTGAAAAAAACCAAACAAGAACGTTCACAGTAGCTGTGGTTACTAAGATCTTCCTGTTGTTTGATTTTATGCATCCGCTTGCCACCTACAACGATTAATAACCGATTTCCGTCCACCCGACCCTCTTAAGAAGTAATTACCTTAATCAGTCCTGCAAACATAAAACCAAAATATTAACCGAAATAGTAACCCCTAAAACCATTGGAAGAAAAAATAAACATTCACAACAAGCCGTTCACCGGTAACTGTCACAAGTTGCGACCAAATGTCTTCAATCTCCAGTTAAAAAGTCACGAAAAGATACATACAATTTAATCAGCAACTTTTTAGTTATTATACACTCCCTCACATTGATTACATCGGAATTTTATAAGTTACAAAATGTCGATTATTTTTTTTTTTACAAGTTTTTATGACAGCAATTTTTTTTTATTTATAATAAATTAAAAAACTATAATTTACAAGTATTGTTACACCTGAAAACCTACCTCTTATAAGTTCGGTATAACTAATTTATTTTAGCTACGGATATATTAGACGGTTGATAACAAATATTGTGTTTATGCAAGTAAAGTATAAGATTTATTGCAGCTACGCTTTAAGAGGATTATGTGATTTGCAGTTATGTAAAAGGCAAACGGCTAAATATATGTGAAGATATAAGTAGTCGAGAAATCGTTGGACTGGAAAATATTATATCTATTGATTATACTAAATCTATTCTATAGGATAATTATGCGTAGTCCAATATAATTAATACATATAATAGGACTATTACCAGTGAAGTAAATAGTAGAATAGAATTAGTAGAAAATATAAAAATGGTAGAAATCGTAAAAATAGTAGAAATAGTAGAAATAGTAGGAATTGAAGGAATTGTAGGTTTCTTGGCACTTGTAATATGTTACGAATTACATGTAGCATAAATCATGTGATATTATTCGTGACTTTGCGAAGTTTTAGGTCTAACAATATTAATACCACATAGGGCATCCGTTAGCATTAATTACAGCACAAATATGATGAGGCATACTTTCAACAAGATTTTTAAAAATCAATCCATCAAGATTAACCCATTCCTTCTGCAGCAAATTGAATAGCTCTGACTTACTGCTTGGTGAAGGAATATGCTTATGAACCCAACGCTCTAATTCATCTCAAAAGTGTTCAATAGGATTGAGGTTAGGCTGTACGAAGGCCAAAGAAGTTAATTGATATTATTTTTTTCAAACCAATCTGTGGTGAAAGTTAAAGCATGAATTTTCGATCTATATCATAATTGTCTTTTGGTTTTCTTCAAGCATATATATGATCATTCTTTCCAAATACTTTAAACTATATTCATCACTCCAAACAACATTTTTCTACCTTTATTCCAATATTCTTGATCTTCAGCCTACTTCAAATAATACAAGTGAGAAGAGAAGTATATTATTAACCAGATGTAATTTACTAATAAACCCACCAGAAAAGCGAACTTTTTCTTTCACCTTTTCGCAAATATGTTTGTGATAATGATTGATAAAACAATCTAAACATTTATGATACATCACTTTGTATATATCTGAAGATCCTGCACAGTGTTTTTATTAAGGTTTTTTACTTAGGGGATATATAAAAAATATAATAAAGTAAATGCATAAAAGAAAAAAGCAAAATGATAATAAATTTTACTAAATTTTTGGATTGATCACTTTTTTTGTAGAAAAGTATACTTTTATTGATTTGAAGTAATTATATCATTCGTATAATTGGTACCAATCAGATCTCATCAAAACAATAAAAAAAAATCACATCAATTAGATTGATTTATCAAAAAAATTTTAGATAGTTTGAAGAATCGTGAACCCATTTACATTATATTTTATATAATCACATTAATAACATTTATGTAACATTGTATAATTGATATAAATGGGTTCATGATTGTTTATATGTTCCAAAATTCTTGAATAAAATTAGAGGTTAGGTTATTATATAGTAAAATCAGTCAAAAAAACTTTTTGTTAAAACACTAAAGCTTGTTTCTAACCTTTGTTTTGAATTTTCCTATTGTGTGAAATCTGATTCGTAGTTCAAATAATATGCACTACAGTTGTGTTACAAAACTGACATGCTGTAATTTTATAGAAAAAATTGATCAATTGTCTAGATAACTTATTTATATGGTTTAAAGTACTTTTTGAGAATATGACATTTCACTAACAAAATTTACTGCAAACATCATTAATAGCTTTAGAAGAATGTTGTCCTTCACAATGCAAAAGAATTTCAAAAAAATCCCAAAACTGAAAAACTTAGAAAATAAAGTATTCTAACTGTTTAAATCTATTTTTATTTAAAACTACCTGAATATATAAATGACTTTTTTATCACTAACTATTTAATTTAAATAGGAATAATATTATACTAGAAAGTGATCTGGGTTTAATACTTGAATATGTTCTGTTCTTGTAACTTGTTTGGGGTTTGTTAATCATAATTAGCATTGAGTTATAGATTGTATACTTGATTAATAAGTTCGAGTTTAATCATAATAAATACCACTTTTACTCCACTTTACAAATATTTAGTATTTTTAAATATATGATTCTTTCATATATTTAATAATTTATAAATTTTCTTCATATGAAATTTTTCGTTTTTAGCTATTAGTATATAGTAATTATTAATCATCACAAGTAGATCTATAAAAATTGATCAATCAGACAAAAAAGATATAAGTGAAGCAAAATTATATACCGTATAGTGCTGCATATAATACCTTCTGGAATAGTATCTCTTTTCTTTTGACAAACAATTTGTGGTCCAATTTCCATAATTAATGGTATGATCTTTTCATTGGGTTTATTAATCAGTAGCAATTATTTGTATTATCATCTTCCTATCTCCCAATATTTGGGGGAATTGCTTAACCTAGATCAGTTTTCTTGAATAATATCCAGGGTACTATATGCAACTCTAGACAATAATCTAGTATAATTATGCTAAATCACATAATTTCTGTGTCTCTGATGTGCCATCTTTAAGTGATAAAAATCTATTATCCGAATAATATGGCTTGGTGCTGCAAAAAGGGGTTGGATTAATAAAATTATACAATATAATTTTTTTAAAATTTGTAATTTCTTATGATTTATTATAAAATTCAACATAAAAATTGATTTTTCTAAGATCTTTTTTTTTGTCAATTTGCTTCTTTTTGCAGTATTAGCCCATATATATTCAAAGAAGTTAGAGGAGTTAATTTAGATAAGACTTTCAAAAATAGGTAAAGAAAATATAAAATCGCTAGGAATTAAAAAGGTAAACCAAATATTTTGATGTAAAAGATTCAGTTAAAATTTTGATATTCTTAAAAAACCAGATTGATCTTTAAAGCATATTTAGGTTTATTGATCATGAGTCTATAGATACAAATTTAATAGTTTAGGTTTTTTTTTTTAGTAATAAAAACTACTTTTGCCTTATTCTATTTACTATAGAGTTGTTAATAAATGTTCTAATCTATAATAAAACCAGCATTAACAAATAAAACAATAGAACAAAAAAGCTCAATTTTTTGTCTTTATATAAAAAAATTTTTTATTAATAATTTGCAATTATTTAAATATATATTGTTAGAGCATTTATAAAGTAATAAATTTAAAATATTTTATTTAATTAGTAAATTTAATACTTAAAATTTACAATAAAAAAATACAAAAATGAATAGAATTAGAAGCCAATAGAAAAAATATATAAATATTATAACCCTAAATAAAACATATAAACTACTCTGAAGCACTTCAGAAATAGGTTATATATTTTATAATAGTCTAAAAGGGATCAAGTAAAGTTCAGAACATGGGAAAAAAATTAGGCATATTACATATAGTATGTCTCTAAGCTAAGGCATACACTTTATGTCTATAGACAAGCTCTTTTTAAATCATATAATTAATATATAGTTTACAACTACTTAAAAATCTCACATATTGATTTAATATCTACAGTTCTAGTTTTATTTAAACTTTTTTTTTTTTTTTTTCAACTTTGGCAATCTTGCCAATGATCTTTTATTAAGATTGTCTTGTTACAGGCGTGATAAAATACTTTAAGCTTAATATTTAGACCTGACATCCTGTAGTTACTTTTAAGAGCACTTTCAAGCAACCTGCTATACTAGGCAGATAAATCTACAAGAGACATATCATAGTAAATCTGAAGACCACCTATCCTAGAAAGCTATATCAGACCATCGCCCTACAATAGGATATTGCCAATCTGATAACATCTTCTCATAGGGAAGTGAAAAAAAGAAAAAAATACTAACACTAATACTAATACTAAAAAGAGGGAAAGGGTAAGAACGAAAGAAAAAAAAATCTGATAGTTACAATTATAAGTCTGTGTCGGTTTAACAAAATTACATATTATAAGATAAAGAAGCTCTGTATCTAACTCTATTCTAATAATATATCTAATCCACCCTAGAAAAAAAAAGAAAAAATAGTAGATTTAAACTAGACTAGACAGAGTAGTTAAAAAAAAATATTAATAGTCTTAGAATATTGTTTAAATGGTTTCTTTCGGTCGAGACACGTTGTCTAATTGTGTTATCCTTCAGATATATTCGGTTGCTTAATCCAGACACCCATCAATTCGTGTTTACTAAAAGTAAACAACTCGTTTTAGAAGGCCAACCCGTTTTGGGTTAGGTAACAATACCGACTGTTTTGGAGATTTACATATCGATCTTTTGGAGAGTGTAAGCTGAGACGCCCACTTTTTGACAAAATTTTCTCAAAAAAAGTGGTGGGCCAATGAAACTTTGTGGGTTCTTCTTTGTAAGTTTTATGGTTGTATAGGTACTATCTCTAGTTTTTTTAATATACTTAACATCGACCTAGTCATTCTGTGTTTCCAGAATACTCTTCTAGTTTGGATACTGAATATAATAAAGGAGTCCACCTAGCAGAGAAGTTTGATCTCTACAAAAACTGTACAAAGTAGTCCGCTTCTCAGTTTTACACTCTTGGTACTTCATCGACAACACACCTATTTGTGTAGGACTAAATATATTATTACCCTTTGATGTCTTCTATAATGCTAACTGTAGTTCAGATTTTTGGAATTGTTGACCAGAAGATTGTCAGAAAAAGTTGTTTTTGGAATTTTTGTTTTATTTAAACTTATTAGCTACTTAAAATAACTTGAATATTATATAATAAGAGTATACTATTTGACTTGAGGCATGCCTATAGGCAGGATACTATCATTTTACTATTAATCACTTTACTAACATCTTAGTTTACTAACAATTAATTTATTAACAAGTTCATTTTACTAACAATTAATTCACTGACAATTAATTTATTGACAATTAATTCACTGACAAGGTTTTTTATAAATTACACTAACTTTAATTCTAATTCTAGTCTGACTTTAATAACAATGACTAGAATTACTTTGTTTATGAATAAACTATTAGTGAAATAAACTGTCAGTGAAATGAACTTATCAGTAAATGAGTTTTAGTAAACTAAGCTGTTAGTAAAGTAATTATTAATAAAATAAGTACTATTTATGGGCATACTCCATTAAGGTGTGTGATACATTATGTAAATTAAAACTATTTATAAAAATCAAATATCAGAGATTTCATGTAACTAATAATCACTGATTATTTATTTAATTTATTATATACAAAAAAATATTAATATATTGATTAAAAAATTTTATCTTTTACTACATATGCAGATTACCGCAGGTCCCTAAATCGGCATAATCACGTGACACTTGCCTATAAATACTAATAACGATAAAAATTTTTTTTAATACCTTATTACTTTGACGATTCGACAAGTGATTTCTTATTCGCAAACTCTACCAAGTCGGGCCACACCATATGACGCTCTATATAGAAAACAAGCCTAAGGCTTGTTCACGTCTTATATACTAAAAAAGCCTGAAATTTACGTCAAATGGAAGAAAAGTATGAGCTTACTAATTCTAATTCTGTGAACAAGAATTGCGTTATTGTTAATAATAAGTTCTAACTATTGATCTTTCAGGTTCTCTGGAAGGAGTATATGGTCTTATTTATTCCTCTAGTTCTCCAGAAAAATATGTGCTTCCATGTGTCGCTGGTTCTACAGAAGGCAAATATGTGTCTAACGTTCCTGGTTCTTCAGCAGAAGAATATGCGTTTATTAGTGCTAGTTCCTCAGAAGAAGAATACGTGTCTAACATAGCTAGTTCTCCAGTAGAAGAATATGTACTTAACTTAGCTGGTTCTTCAGTAGGAGAATATATGTCTAATGTCGCTAGTTTTTCAGATAAAGAAAATGTGTTTACTATTACCAGTTATCTAGAAGGAGAATATATGTTTAATGTTGCTAGTTCTTTAGAAGAAGACATGTCTGTTGTCACGGGTTTTTTAGGAGAATATGTGTTTACTGCTGCCGGTTCTTCAGAATATGTGTCTGCTGCTGTTGGTTCTCCAGAAGAAGAATACGTGTCCGACATTGCTGGTTCTTTAGAAGAATCTTCTACCACTGGTTTTCCAGATGAAAAATATGTGTCTAATGCTTCCGGTCTACCAGAAGAATCCTCACCATCCTCTATGATGGAAACAGGTATATTTTATCTTATCATTTGAAGCGATATTTATGCTTCATAGCACTATATTTATAACTATATATTCTTTATTAGAGAATCATACATTCCTTACTCGAGAAAATGAACATTCCGCTTTATACTCTGAAAAAAGATTTACATTATGGGAAATCTGTGAAAATTTTATTAATGATTGGGCTAAAAGATGTGGTTTTTATTTAATTAAGGATCAAGTTACTTGTGAGGATGGTATTATTCGCCGACGAACTTATTTATGCAATCACAGTAGGTCATATGAATCTACTTCGGAGAAAGATACTAGTATACAAAAAATGCGATGCCAATTTTTGATTAATGTATCTTGTCCTAAGACCAACAATCCTGATAAGACTATAATTGTTAATAAAATAGTTAACGAACATAATCATATATTGAATTGTGATGCAATTGAATTTAGGGATGAAAAAAAATTTACAGACAAGATGATTGAAAATGTGAAATTTATGACTGTGTGTTGTAAATTTGGTGCGACAGTACAAAGAAAGTTTCTTGAAGGAAAATATCTTTCACAACAAATTTATTCGAATGATCTCTATGCTGTTATCCAAAAATTTAAGCCTACTAACAAATTTTTATTTGATGATGCATCGAGAATTTTTAACTGGCTTGATCAAAAAAAAAGTGATGATACACGCTGGGTTATAGCTAGAGGTTGGGATGATGAAAATTGTTTAACTCACCTATTGTAGATGACACCAGCACAAGTTGAATATTGAATTAAGTATTCAGACTGTGTACTCAATAATGTTACATATAAAACTAATAAATATGGCATGGCGTTGTCGTTATTTGTTGGTTTTGATAATGACCGTCATAACGTTTTACTTGCACAAGCACTTTTAATTGATGAAAGTTATGAATCTCACAAATGGGTGTTTCTTAAGATTATTGAAGCAACCAAGGTTCAACCTAAAGTAATATTAACAGATACAGATCTGGCCGTTGATGCGGCTATTCGACAAGTTTTTGATTCATCATATTCGATTCATTGTGCCTTTCATATAACCCAGAACCTATATAAAAACCTAAAAAAAACTTTAGATAAAAATTATCAAAAGTTCCTTACAG